AACTTACACAAATGTACCCAAATAAATCTCAACTTACAAACCTCTAGCCATTAGTTATAGACTTACTAAAACTAGCCAACAAAAATTGAAAAACCAAATAATAGGGTTCTTTCTCTCAAAGAATCACATGCAAAAATCACCTTCCATATTTTTAAGCGTGATTAGCAACACTAGATACAAGACGGAAAGAAAATTTCACGGATGAGGTAGCAAATAAGGTGATGAAATACAAAAATATATACAATATTCCAAAAATCTAAACAAAAAGGAACTTTTTCAATGGGTATAGTTGAAATTCATTGAAAATATATAGATAAGTCAATATACAAAATTTGAGGAAGATTGGAGGTGATTTGGACTGGTTTTGTATCAAAATTCGTAATTAAATCGAGTTCAAAAAAGTCTTCTGCGACACTGTATCAAACATGTATCACGCATGTATCTCACACACAGGTATACATGGATATACATGTGATACATAATTGATACACAAATGATATACAGTGTGATACACAAATGATACACAGTGTGATACACATATCATTTTTTTCATGTTCAGTTTTTACTTCGAATTTTCAATTCAAACCCCCTCAAAACTTCACCAAATCATCCCAAAACTGAGATTCAAGCTCCTTAAGTTGTGCCCAATCTATTCTAATAGCACCCACTCAAAACAAAGCAAAAATTTGATATTTTTTTGCTACAAATAGTTAATTGACTAATATTAATAATATTTTATCAATCGGTTAATTTTTGTAATGAGCTGCTTATAAATGGACATAGCTGGTAATTTCCCATCTATATTACATTTTTAGATCACATGTGACCAGTACGATGCTACAACCCTAATGAAAGCCCTCACTAGACCTCCCAATTGCTTTTGAGAGTCATGGCAAATATCTAAAGTTTTAATTTAATGAGAGAAAAAAAGAGGAAACCTCAGACTTTACGTCACAGCCCGTGACTTTAGATTTTGACTCAGCAAAAGTAAAACAGATCTAGTTTTTGTGTTTCACGGTAGCATAGCATTAGTTAGTAACACAGAGATGAGAAGATAAAGACTACACACAGTCACACAGTATTCACACTACACTCCACACTTCCCCACCTCTCTCTCTCTCTCTCTCTCTCTCTCTTGTTTGTTCCTTCTTCTCCCACTGGTCCTTTTCTCTTTCTCATCCTTGAAACAAATCTCTCTGCAATAGCAAGCATCACCCTTTCTTTTGTCCAGAAATGCACACAGTCACACACTATTTACCCTACACTCCACAACACCACTAGACTCCCCATATTTCTTGTTTCTTCCTTCTTCCTCCACACTATATGTCCTTTTTCTTAATTTCATCCATTTAACATATCTCCACTGCAAATATGGATCTCAAGAAATACACACAATCACACAGTCCATCACAAACCTGTGCAAATATGTATCTTTAATACTCTTCCAAGATCACCCCTTTCTTCCTCAAGAGATGCACACAGTCACACAGTATTCACTCTAGACTCCACTCCGACCAGTTGCCATTCTTGTTTCTTCCTTCTTATTTTGTCATTCATAAATCACCCTGCAAATTTGCATCTTTAACTCTATCAACATCACAACAGTCACAAAATAGTGTTTGATTATTCCTTCTTCTTCCACATTAGTCCATTTCTTTAATCAATATAACAAATCTGTCTGCAAATTTGCATCTCTAAACTCTTCCAAGATCACGCCTTTCTTCTTCAAGAGATACACAGTCACACAGTACTCACATTAGACTCCATACTTACACCAGTTACTATTCTTGTTTGTTCCTTTTTCTTCCACAGGTCCATTCTTTTCACCCCCAATAACAAATCTCTCTGCAAATATGCACGTCTAGCTTTTCAAAGATCACACCTTTACTCAAGAAATGCCACCAGAAAACCCATTTCCGCCTCCTCTAACCACCCTACCTGTCTTCCCCACCACCTACCTACCTCCCCCGCCACCCCCACCACCCTCCCACCATCACCATTCTCACTCCCCTCTCATCCCACCCTTTATAGCTGCTGCTTTTGCCTTGACATTCTTCATTGTAGCTGCCATCATTTACCGCAAAGTGTCACGCAATAGGACTGTTCCTACAGATCTGAAGTCACCTCCACCACCCCACAAGTTCTCCTACTCTGTCCTCCGCCGCGCTACTGGCTCATTCTCAGCTGCTAATCGTCTTGGCCAAGGTGGATTTGGTTCTGTTTACAAAGGCGTCCTTCCCTCTGGACAGGAGATAGCCGTGAAGCTCATGGATGCTTCTGGCTCCCTCCAAGGCGAGAGGGAGTTCCACAATGAACTCTCTCTTGCCTCGAGGATAGACACTACGTCTTGCCATCACGTAGTGCCTATACTCGGCTTCTCCTCTGACGAGCATAGTTATAAGCACCACTGCTCTAGTCTGCGGAGGAGAAGATTAGTTCTTGTATATGAGTATATGCATAATGGTAGCCTCCAAGATGCTTTGTTAGATCGAAAATGTCCTGAGTTAATGCAATGGAGAAAGAGATTTGATATTATAAGTTCCCTTGCAAAGGGTGTTGAGTATCTCCATTATTCGTGTGATCCTCCTATAGTACATGGAGATATAAAACCGTCTAATATATTGTTGGATTACAATTTTGATGCAAAACTAGCTGATTTTGGGCTAGCACAGTCTTTGACTAAAGATGATCAAGTTGTTGAGTGTTTCATTGAAGATGAGGAGAGAGTTGAGAAGGGGGCAAAAGGAGAAGTTCTTGAGAATGTGGATGAAAATGGGTCGATTCTTGAAGGAAATGAGAGTGTGGTGACAGAGGAGGTTGTGATAAATGTGGATCAGTTGCCGGAGAGTTGTTGTGTGAGGGTGTTGGATGGGGAAGCGGGAGGGGTGTCGCCTGAGGTGGGAGTGCCATCAGAGGGTATGGAAAAGACTAGTGTTTCTGAGGGTTTTTTTGATGGGATTAGTGTGGATAGTGGAATTTCGAGAGGGATTGGGAGGGGAATTAGTCAATCAGGCAGAGATTGGTGGTGGAAACAGGAAAATGTGAATGGTGGATCAGATTCGGGGAGGATTAAGGACTATGTGATGGAATGGATTGGTAGTGAGATTAAAAAAGAGAGGCCTAAGAAGGACTGGATCGCGACCACAAGTGCGGAAGAAGATGTTGCCAAAGGGGGGCAACAGAAGCAAAGAAAGAAGCTTGAATGGTGGGGATCCTTGGATGAGGAGAAACTTAGGAAAGAAAAGAAGAATAGGAAGCCAAGAGAATGGTGGAAGGAAGAGTTTTGTGAGGAGTTAGCCAAGAAAAAGAAGAAAAGGGATCTCAAAGGGGGAGAAATGTGGTGGCAAAGGGATGAAGAACTAGTGCCAGAAAGAAAGAGGAGAAAAAGTAAGGGAAGTAGGAGCAGCATTGATTGGTGGCTTGATAGTTTCAGTGGGGAGTTTCGAATAGGAAGAAGAAGTAGTCAAGATTTTGCCAGTGGAGATATTCCCAAGAGTGGAGGTGTGAGTAGTACCCCTAGTATGAGAGGAACCGTTTGTTACATTGCTCCAGAGTATGGTGGCGGAGGGCAGCTCTCGGAGAAGTGTGACGTGTATAGTTTTGGTGTTCTGTTGTTGGTTTTGGTCTCAGGAAGAAGGCCACTCCAAGTTACAGCTTCTCCTATGTCAGAATTTGAGAGGGCTAATCTGGTTTCATGGGCAAGGCAACTTGCTCATTCGGGCAAGCTTTTGGATCTTGTTGATCCCAATATTCAGTTACTGGATAGAGAACAAGCATTGCTTTGCATCACAATAGCACTACTCTGTTTACAAAGATCACCTAACAAGCGCCCGGCAATGAAAGAGATTGTTGGGATGCTTTGTGGTGAATCTGAGCCACCCCACTTGCCATTTGAGTTTTCCCCTTCACCACCATCCAATTTCCCTTTCAAGTCCCGGAAAAAGGCCCGGTGAGTTCACTGAGTGTTCAATTACCATTTCATTAACGGTAGCTTCGTACTGTTCAATGTAATCGTCATGTATGATTCTGTAGAAAATGTTAGAAGATTAGCCAAAAAAAGGAAGAAAAATATTATAATTTTCTTATCAGCTTTTTCTTTTGCATAAATCTTCTCTTAATTTCCTGCACTTTTCAATTCTATTGTGTTATGATGATGAACACACTAGTAGCTGAATTCAAGGAATCCTAGGCTTAAAAGTATCTGATATGACTCTTTGGTTCCACTTTCTAAAAGTTGAGTGCACTAGTAATTATAAAATTCAGTGCCCTTGAACTATAACGAGCTTGCTTTTAGTTATTGCTTTCAGAACTTACTTTATTCGGGTCCCAGGAGATATTTGACGGTTTGTTGTCTGTTGCCTTGTAAAAGTAGGATGTAACTTGTTTTATAGTTACACTCAGTTTCATTGCAGATTTAACCCCTCTTATCCCAACTTTGTCCTAGGGGTAATTTCAAAGGAATACATGGAAGTGCATCTTTTATTTGTCTAGACTAATACTGTATTATCTAAATATTCCCTGTGACCCTATACAATGTAGTATAAATATGTATAGTAACTGTTCGTACTGCAAAAATAGATGATATGCTTGGGGAAAGACTTCAGAGAGAAAATCTCATTTTTTTGGCATTCATAGGGGACTAATGGCTTTGTCAATTACTGGAAATATTTAGTTGAAAGTTAAACAGTAAAACAATATTGTCAAAGATGAGGGGAAGCTGAGTATTATTCAGTACTCCGGAATTTGGTTATTCTGGCAACCTACATTGTCATATTTATGTCTCTTGACATGTTTAATGAATGAAGTACATAAGTATCTCAAGCATAGAAGTAACTAAGTTCCTGTAAATGGTGGAGATCATTTATGTTGGAGATGCTGTTCGATACCTCATCTAACTGTAATTGCCCGCGTATCATCATGAATATAATATCTCAGGTACCTATATCACCTTGTGCAGATAACTCTCCATTCAATTTTCTGGGTGAATGTAGTAGAATTCTGTTGTGTACTCTTGGATCTTTCTTGTTTATCATGTAATTTTGGTTTTGATTCAGATTGAAATAGCTTTTCATAGAACTTTAAGTTGACATATGATTAGCATAGGTGTAGGATTCGTGATGTTATAGTTGTGAAGTTAAGATTTTGATTTGTTTGTCTATAAGTTACATAAGATTGAAAACTTTTAAGTAGTAGAGTTAGCCCCTTTTACATATACAAGGTACTTGAAGTTTTAATATTTCTCTGCTCAGAGTTTTCAAATAGAGCTTAGATATTTTATATAATATTTGACTAAGATGAGCTTAAATAGAACGACATGGACATCAATGAGGATTTATATAGCTGAAGGCGTAATTGTTGCTGTCGTGAGAGTTCGCAAATCAACAACAACAACAACCTAGTATAATACCACAAGTAGGGTAGGGAAGTGTGTAAGCTGAGCTTATCCCTACCCTGGGGTAGAGAGACTATTTTCGATAGACCCTCGGCACAAGAAGATGATAAGAGATAATAGAACAGTAACAACAACATATGCTAGAAAGATAGTACCAACGAGCTAAGAATCAGAAAAATAAATGGAAAAAGCAAATAAGAGAGTTTGCAAATTCTGGATGAAATCTCATTGTTGTTTAAGTTTCATCAGAATATGTTTGTCTGTTGATAAACTAATGGATAGGATATTTGTATTACTGTCGTTGTAGAGGTCACTGAAGAGTTGTCTCGTTGTTATGAGTGTAGTTCTAACAGGAAGCGCACTTGTTCACTGGTACTAAAGTTCCTTCTTTTGCTCACAATAACATGTCCCTCAAAAAACCTTTGACCCACAATGCTTTATGATAAACCTGAACAGACACGTTGGTTGTCTTAGTAATCATCATGTTTTTCCTTTTCTCTTCTGCAGTGTACCCCACATCATAGTCCTATGGATTCATATATATGAACTGTTCTAGATATTTATGCACATTGGATTTTTCTTATATTTAGCTGCCCTATATATGGATCTGAATTAAGGAAAAATAGATATAGAAGATTTACATTGATTCATCCATTGATTTTTGGTGTCCATATGAAAATCATGTGGTGGGGGTAAATTCCATTGCCTCGTAGTTTGAAGGTGGTAATTCTTATGAGACCATAGCTCATACATCACTTGTACGCATACTAAAATCTTTAAACTATATGAATTGATCTTTTACTAACATATGTATCGGATAACTCTGTCCACCATATTTTACCTTTTTACAGTTCGAACTCTTGTTTCACAAGATTTGTTCTGCTTCATTGATTGTTAGACCTACTCATGGGTGCATAATTAAATAACTAGTAGTAATATTTTCCTTGTGTCACGTCAAATCTCACAAGAAAAAGACTGGTAAAGAAAAAATGATAGAAGGTATATTAAAATTTAATGTTGAAAGGTTTTACCATTAAAAACAGGTCAGGGCTAGTCCCTTTGGGAACATCCAATGAAAGAGATCAGGTCAGGGCTCAATTATCTTGCCCTACATATGGTCCGAACAATAAATTTACAAATCAGTTTCTCTTCATAGAAAAATTTCAATTAACTTTAGTTTCCTTCCCAAATAAAGGATATCAAACAAAAAAAAAAGAGATTGACGTTTTCCAGAAAGCGAAAAAAAAAAAGAAACAAGAAGCTGTCTTCTTGTTCTTTTCACGTCACGGGAGTTATAAGAAAATTAAATGTTTGTGCCAATTATTAATTAATTTTCAAACTATATTTACCATAATTGGTTGCTGGCAATTCCATACCGAAAATATCTACCTTGATAACTATTGGGTTTCCTCGAAGGATTAGTTACCTCCTACAACAAAGGTTGCTATCTTATTTATTTTAAATAAATACCCTTTTAAAAAGTTATATTCCATAGCTACCTTTTGATTTTTTATAGCCAAATATCTATTTATGGTTACCTTTTACTCTTAAGTCATAAAATAAGCTTTGTATTATTTTTCTCTCTCATATCCTCTCAAATTTCTCCTATTCCCTACCCTATATCTATTTTCCACCTCTCTCTCTACTTCCTGATGTAAAGGAGAACGTTTTTCTATATGATTTATAGTAGTCTTTGAAAACTGATCAGCCATAGGAGCCTTTCCAGCATGAATATTCAACGGCAGCATTACAGCAAGGGCAAGGAAGGCAAGGAATAATAGCAGCGCCGAGCTGCCGCCTTCAATAAGGAGAAATTGGGCGGCGTCAGCACCGCAGTGGTGGGCGATTTCACGGCCAGTGGCGTGCCACATTCTCTGACGCAACATATCGGATCAACAAAAACCTCCGTTATTTCGTCGGTAATTATGTGCTAATCGTCGACAACTGGAGGCAACGGTGACGGCGAGAGTGGACTGGATACTGATGCTGCTTCAACGAGACGACATTAGGGTTGTTCTTGAACAAAGACGACGGAGTTAGGGGCTGAG